TAATATTCGATATATATATTATCTTAAGTACTTAAAATTTCAGTTTAATTTCTCACTAGTACTTGAATAAATTATTTCATTATATTACAAATATAAGATAATTTACGAAGACATATGCAAACAGTTGAATTTAAAAGATTCTTTAAGGATATAGCAGCATCGGATAAGTTTCTAATTATCATAGGAACAATATCAGCTGTACTTACTGGAATTCTTCTTCCTATGTTCTCTTTTCTTCTTGGAGATCTAGCTGATACGTTTGATCCAAGGAACCCACGAGATCTATAAGAAAAAGCTCTAAAATCAGTGTCGCTTTAAATCGGCCTACTTGGATTTGCAGTTTGGCTATTCGGTTATATATTTTTTGGATTCTGGTAGCATGCAGCAGAAAATATAGTATTTAAATTAAGATCTTAGTACTTGAATTGTTTGTTAAGACAGGAAATAGAAGACTTGGAAACAATGAATATAGAATAGCTTCCATCTTAACTAGGTGAAAACTTTAGCATTATATAAGACTCTATAGGATAAAAGCTTTCTACAATCATATTTTCAATAAGCAATATAATCAGTGGAATAGTTATTGCTTTGATATATGGACCAGATTTAACTGGAATTTTCTTAGTTATATTTCCAATTTTGTTAGTGATTCTATTTGCTATTGGTATCAGGGTATAGAAATTTTCTATAAGCAAACAATCGGTGATTTAATAAATGGGAGGAGCTGTCGAAGAATGTTTAATGTCTATTAAATTAATTACCTCTTTTTCTTAAGAGGAAAAAGAGATTAAGAAATTTGAAAAATTTGCGGAACAAGCTAAAGAAATATCAGACAAATCTGAGCATTAAATTGCTGCTTTTATAGGTTTGTTGAAATTTTTTATATTCGGATTTTATGCTTTTGACTCTTACTTAGGCACTGTTTATATTGAACACAAACTCTATAATGCTAGTTCTGGACATGATTATACAACTGGAGATATTATCTCTGTGATAATGTCATTCATTTTTAGTACGGGAATGTTATTTAATATCAGTCCCAATATTTAAGGAATTATAAAAGCAAAGCTAGTTGGAAAATAAATTTTTGACGTCATCGATAAAGTCTAGAATAATTTTTCAAAATAAGAGGGATAAATCAAAAAGTTTGAGGTTATTGAAAACATAAGGTTTGAATCTGTGACATTTAAGTATCCCAAAGCAAGTAAAGTAACTTTGCAGGATGCTTCATTTACAATTCAAGCAAATTAAACAACTGCGATTGTTGGTAGCTCAGGATCAGGAAAAAGTACTATTATATAATTAATAGAGAGATTTTATAACCTAGATTCAGGGAAAATATTTTTCGATAACCTAAATATTTAAGACGTAGATTTAAGAATTCTACGCGAGTCGATCGGATTAGTTTAATAAGAACCTGTACTAATTATGGGATCTATTAAAGATAATATTCTATTGGGAAACAAAGATGCCAGTAACGATGACTTAAAAAATGCCGTTAGAGTGGCTAATGCAGAATTTATTTATGAACTCGAGCATTCTCTAGACACCTATGTAGGCTCCTCAAATATACTTAATCTTTCTGGGGGTTAGAAGCAAAGAATAGCAATCGCAAGAGCATTGATAAAAAATCCAAAAGTGCTGATATTAGATGAAGCCACGAGTGCTCTTGATCCTAAAAGTGAAAAAGATG